TTGTCTACGTATTTGAAACGGTCCTGACTCAGCAACCACCAACAAGTTGTATGACTATTCACATGGTTCGCAGATGGTAACTCATATGCAGTCTGCGACCCGGCACTTGTTGCCGGCAACCAGTTTTCGTTTCCTTTGCGGCAATGCACCTCACACAGCTGGGTAAGCCATTCTTTCCAAAGGCAAGCAGTTGCGAATTCCTAGCACCGGAGTTTTATCAGTTGCATCTAGAAGTATCCCGCCTTGGTTACAACCCTCATAACCACAACACTGACTAGTTGTTGACAGTTTTCCATTGGGTAACTGAGTAATAGCCTATATTCCTAATCGGCCTTTTCGATAGTGAATGATATCACGATGGTAGCAATAAGTACGCGCTAAGTGGTTGTGTGCCCATGATACAACCAATTACAATTACCTCTGCAACCTTATAAAAGAGAGTGCAACCTGTATTGACGGAAGCGCCTCACTGATTATACTAACAACTATAGGACAATCACGAACACATGCCAGGATTGTCTATACTCGCTGTTTTCTACATGCACCCTCTGATCAGTGCCCAAAAATTAAGTTTTCTCAACCGAAGTACAATCTACCCGTTGCTAGTCTTAGAAAGGTCGTAGTGTCATAACCAACCAAGTAAACCGTGTCACTACTTGTTCGAAAGGAAAGAGCATGTTTGTAGAAGCCGTAAAATAAGTACTCTCTACTTTTCGGCTTGAGCACATGAGTGCTTAGTAAATCGACTGATTTGATAGGATGGCTTGTGGTGAACTGAATGCGCTGAGTCGATAGCAGTTTCAAGACGACATTCCGCGTTAGACACTAAAAGATACTCTACTCGACAGTTGGATCTGCTACGGTTACCGGTACTTATTCCCTCACTCCTGCGTCTGCATGATAAACCGACTGCTGCGCTTTGTCCCAAGCTGAAGTTACGTGTGCCCATTCCAGCATCCACACAGCTGATCAAACATTTTCATCCAACTGCTTTTACCGATTATACGTGTACATTCAATGAAGAAGCGGCTAAAACTGAATTAGTCACTTGGAACGGGTAACTGGGGAAAATGCCGGTGTTTAACAAGTCCCATAGGATGATCGAAAAGACAATAGCGAAATCATTGAAATGTAGGTCAGTAATTGAGTGCGTGATGCTGAAATCACTGAGAGTTTTCATGATAACATTTATACTTCCACGTGGTTAGTAGGTGAGAAATTAGGTTTGGCTATGGTATAAAAACTGTTAACAAATGCTATTTATGCAGAGGAATGTGAGTAGTCGTAAGTGGTGAATATCGTTAATTTGGGAGCAGGGACAAGATAAGACGAAGGAAATTCGACAATACTCCTGCCAGGTATACTAACTGGAAAACTATAAATCATAGCCTCTTAGTTTGGTATTATGATTGAGTTTCAGGAGGCAGCTGCAAACTTGGTTGGCTTTCCTCCGAATCTGGTAATCCCTTATGAATTCCCCCAAAGAAAGCAAATACAACCGCTGCACATTCTGATAGATTTTCACTAAGATGGAAGAGACTGCTAACACGTTTAGATGACCCCTGGCTGTGCAGTTCCGAGCACAGTGCGATCGTGTCAAACAATGGTGCAAATGTTGTTGGGTTAAACCGACCGAAAGCAAAAAGGGGATATGTTGCTTGTCGGTGCTCGACTAATTTTCAGATTGAATGGAAAAAACCCATTGATCGAACAGAAATCTGTGTAAGCGAACATATGTTTTCGGCAATTCTTCATCAGGCTTGTACAATTACATGAAATGCAAACTTTTTGTATACAGACCCAAAGGGTCGTCAGTCAACCAAATTGATCTTAGTGCGCTGTGACACACCTTCGGTTACGTTACAGGTGTGGTCGTGCGTGCGTACTGGTCAACTGCAGTCCGTCCTGGCCAAGGTAGGCTCAACGCGTGAGTGAACCGTTTCTGTGTGCACAGTGCTGGTTCGTACAGCCGAATGGCAATGGCTTCTGCGGCGTCCAATATCCGCTTACGGAAATACCTTGATCGATTTTCTGGGGCCTGATAGATTACTTTGAACGAGTCAGCCGACTTGGTGGCGTGACCCGTATCCGCAAGATGCGTGGCGATGGCAGAGTTGGTGACCTTTCGGCCTCCATTTCCGAGCCAGGCCGGGTGGTGTTCCTTCACCCTTTCGGATAAGCGTCTTGTCGTACGACCAACGTATCCTGTCCCACAGGAACAGGTAAATGAGTATACACACCTTGATTTGGTGTGGACGGGCAGCTTATCCTTGAGGTTTAGTCTCACCATTGGGCTGCTGGTGAATCGGATTTGCAACCTCGCCGCTGAAAGGTATTTCTGAGTGTGAACGTGAGACGGCGGGATAGATTCTCGGATACTATTTCCCCTTTGTAAGGCAGTTGTAGGAAAATAGGTTTCCGTTCCGCCGTCAGGACCAAAGGTGCTTCCCTGTTGCGCCCCATATTCGCATTAATATTACAAAGCAAGAAGGAAAGTTACGCACTTCACTCACAAAGACAATACAGAAAGAGAGAGGCACAACAACTTTCCCGACCGAACCTGAGAAATACGTCCAAAATCTGTCTGGTTTCCCGCTTGATCGCACCACTACTGAAGTGTTATCATTGGGTCCAAAGTTCTGTCTCCCTACTAGCAAACATAACAGACTGGCAATAGAGGCACAGTTCGAAAACGTCTACACACAGACTTCGCAACTGATCCCAACTTCTGAATCGCATGCAGAAGAGTTGAAATCCCTGTTGGTGCATGCCTGTTATCAATATCGGCGTGCGCGAGTTCCGCACAACACACCGGTGAAACATGAGCATGTGCAAGCGTTGCAGCGACTACTTAGGAACGATCAAATTCTGCTCACCCGTCCAGACAAAGGCGCCGGCATTGTTATCCTAAACAGAGCAGACTATCTCAACAAGATGGATGAAATACTGGCAGATAATACGAAATTCTTGAAAATGAGTGGGGAGCGAGACAAAACCAAGCAGATTGAAAATCAACTGGGTGTCTGTCTCAAAAAGCTTAAGAATGGTGGTTATATCAGCGAATCGCTCTATGAAAATCTGCGCCTCGTGGGCACGGTTATTCCAAGGCTTTACGGCCTTCCCAAAACCCACAAGCCTACCTGTCCTCTTCGCCCGGTTTTGGACATGAGAAACTCTCCATACCACTCGATCGCTCGTTGGTTGGTAGAACTTCTTGAGCCTTTGCGTAGACGAGTTGCTGTACATACCCTAAAGGATACTTTTGCATTTGTAGATGCCGTGCGTGATGTCAACATCAAGAACCAAACCATGTGCTCTCTAGATGTCACCTCACTGTTCACGAATGTGCCTTTATTTGAAACGATTGAGTTCATTTGCAACTTTGTTGAGGAGAACCATCTTGATATTGGCATACCAACTCTGGCACTGAAAGAATTACTGCTAAGGTGTACATTTAATGTTCAGTTCCTATTCAATGGGGATATATACCGACAGCGTGATGGAGTTGCAATGGGTTCCCCGCTAGGACCATTCCTCGCTGATGTTTTCATGGGTATGTTGGAACAGGGTAAATTGAAAGCGGTCATCAGTAGCCTCACGTTATATCACCGTTACGTAGATGACATCTTCGTCCTACTTGACATCTCCGGTAACATCGAGAAGCTCACCAGCGTATTTAACCAAGCTCACAAGGCTATACAATTCACCTACGAGGTAGAAGAAAACGGTGCTTTCCATTTTCTCGATGTAGCTCTACAAAGACTTGAAGATGGTGCAATAAAACGTAGCGTTTACCGAAAGTGCACTTGGAATGGACAGTACACAAACTTTCATAGCTTTGTGCCGCTTCGGATTAAGAGAAACTTGGTCCTCAGTCTCGTGAACCGGGCCGAAAGAATCTGCTCGAAGGATACTCTTTCCGAAGAGTTGCAACTAATACGAGCGACACTAAAAGAGAATGGCTACCCAGAGAATTTTATTAATGCGAATATGGGGCGAAACAGGGAAGCACCTTTGGTCCTGACGGCGGAACGGAAACCTATTTTCCTACAACTGCCTTACAAAGGGGAAATAGTATCCGAGAATCTATCCCGCCGTCTCACGTCCACACTCAGGAATACCTTCCCAGCGGCGAGGTTGCAAATCCGATTCACCAGCAGCCCAATGGTGAGACTAAACCTCAAGGATAAGCTGCCTGTCCACACCAAATCAATGTGTGTATACTCATTTACCTGTTCCTGTGGGACAGGATACGTTGGTCGTACGACAAGACGCTTATCCGAAAGGGTGAAGGAACACCACCCGGCCTGGCTCGGAAATGGAGGCCGAAAGGTCACCAACTCTGCCATCGCCACGCATCTTGCGGATACGGGTCACGCCACCAAGTCGGCTGACTCGTTCAAAGTAATCTATCAGGCCCCAGAAAATCGATCAAGGTATTTTCGTAAGCGGATATTAGACGCCGCAGAAGCCATTGCTATTCGGCTGTACGAACCAGCACTGTGCACACAGAAACGGTTCACTCACGCGTTGAGCCTACCTTGGCCAGGACGGACTGCAGTTGACCAGTACGCACGCACGACTACAACTGTAACGTAACCGAAGGTGTGTCACAGCGCACTAAGATCAATTTGGTTGACTGACGACCCTTTGGGTCTGTATACAAAAAGTTTGCATTTCATGTAATTGTACAAGCCTGATGAAGAATTGCCGAAAACATATGTTCGCTTACACAGATTAATTTTCAGATTGTATTTGTACCCAGCCCATGAGTTCGCACTAAGCAGCAGACAATTGATTGAAGAGAAATACCACTGGTAATTTTTCTTTGGTATTATGGACTGAAATTATTAAATGTAAAGTGCGTCCCACTCCCTTTAGGTCTCATTGCCAAAAAGTGGGCTGCGCTGCTGTGATTGACTGCCGTTACTACTTGCTGTACCTTTCAGTTGTTTGTATGCAAGTGTTTAACAAAATCAATAAAGCAAATCAATTTACAGGTGTCGCCATACTTTCATGTGGATCCGCACTCAAACGAAACTACTGGACTCATGCATCGGTTATTTGAGGAAACATCAGAACTCAGTGTTGACAACTTCACCGTTTATCCGATTCAAACTTGGTTCCAAGAAACATCCGGCGAATTGGCACATAACTTGACAAGTTTCGAAGCTGGTGCGCTGAACTGTATTGCACAGGTATGTCTTTTTGCTGCTCCGCTCACGTCTCAAATTTCGAGAACTTGTGTCTGATAAGTCCCACATCCACGTGTCACCGTTGGATTCACTAGTGTTTAGCTTCCGTTGCTGACTTGACAGGGTTCATCATCATCATCATTACAAACGTTAGCTAGAGGTGTAAAACACCTCAGCGACTATTCCGCGATATATACAAGCAGAAAAAAGAAAACAAATTCAACTGTTGCATGCCAGCTAAGCTACCAGCGACGTACGGGCATAGTTCCGGAAAGCTAACAGCCGGCTACTCTACAGGGTTACTAGGTGTCTTCTTAACGTAAACCGATTAGGTAGCCAAAACTGCATAATGGGTCCAAGCCAGGACTCAAATTAATCCACCTGTGCATTCGACTTCCAGTCGAAATAATCTCTTGGTGTTATTTTACTTGGTGTTTAGATGCACGATCTAATACAACTCGAAATGATTCGTTACACTGAAACGTGCTGTGATGGCCAGGTGTAATGTGAACTTTTAACGGCAGGAAACGGTAAACGAAGCGTGAGTTCTCTAGACCAACAGCATCTGTTCGTTTGAACCGGTTATTATGGGCCCAGCCATGGTGCATTTTCTCTAAACATGAGCTATGTTTTTTCCTCACTTGTTTACTAAAATTGCACGCCAAGTACTTCGCGAAACTAAGGGATTGATTGCAAAAACGAGCGTGTTTCCGAATCTTACTGCACCTGTCGTATCTGAGCACAAGATGCACATAGCGAGAACGTGAACTCTCAGTAGATTGGTATAGGTAGAAATTCGTCCCATCTACTACTCCTATGTCTCAGTAGATTATTGTCACCGTGGTAAATTTGCTTTAGGTAATCCAGTTGGTAAAACACCATGGCGAAGTCAGTTTGTGCCAGTTCTCAGAACAAGCATTAAAAATGATCCACAACGTTGCGCTGATCAATGTAAATTTTGACAAGTTTTATCAAACCACGAAATCCTCAGTCAGCGTTATTCTCATACAAACGTAGTCCGGGAACTCGACCGGATATCTCCCTCCCGGAATGATATCGTACGTCAGTCCAGTGTTCCCTAAATAGCTCCACAGATAATGTTACATTATGCGTCAGCGCCCTTGGTTCATAGCTTACAGAAGCTAATGAAGGCATCCGTTCACTGTGCTCGACGTGCTGAGCATAAGAGTGTGGAACACCATGTTTCATTACCATGCGTAGCAAAAATAACCAATTGTGTAGTTTAATTTCAAGTCTCAATTGCTTTGACTTCACGCAGTCTGTGACTAGTCTCACATTACTGTAGCGGGCCTAGGTCCGTTCATTAATGGCTGATAGGGTCACATCGGTGTAGAGTCTATACTGTAGACCATGCGTTTGTTTCACCAGTTCATGCATTTGGGCAAAATGGAATGGGCTAAACGCCTCAATCAACACATGTTATCCTTAACTGAGCCACAACACGCTTTGTAACAAATGGTGATCATTCTGGGCATTTGAATAGCATCCGTTGTGGTGACACCGTTTGATTCATGGGATAGCATTTCTACCACTAGTAAGAATACGCAAGTGTCCACCGACTGAAACCGATTTACTGAATTCAAATACTCCACTTCGTTTCAGTAGCCGCCGTTTCAGTGTGACCTTAAAGCCGCATTATTATAAAGCATGAGACATTATATGTTTGATGCAATTGTGTACGATGGAATTGGATATGTGTGACCTTAACAACTCCGTTGTTGCGCTTTGTCCACAGATCAACGAAAGTGAAAACTCACCAGACTCGTGTCTCGCATTGATTACACTTGCTACCATGCGTGTTCTTGATGGTCCAATCCCGCCATTGGTCATCCCGTTGGGGATGAATCTGAAGCCGGTCCTAATGGCTACATGTGTCGGACAACAGTGTCCTAGACGAATGAGTCCATCCGTACTACAATCGCTGTACTTTTTGCGGTCGTTCAATTCTTCCGTTTGGTCGTTACTGCTTCTCTGCATATTAACTGTAAGTTGACTGATCACTTTGGTTCCAATTTGTTCCAATAACTTATGCCAGTGCAGATTTACATGGGGAAATAGACCCAAATTATGGGGCGATGATTCAGAGAACGCGGTCAGGCTGACGGCAAGGTAGCACGCGTTCGTCTGTATCTCCGGTGTTGGAACAGTTGGAGGTTGGAATACACCCAGCGCAGAGACGCTTCTATTCCGCACCATTCCTAATTGAACGATATTTCCAAACTGGTCGAGCCACAGGAGCCGAGACTTAATGTATCTTTTCATGTCTAATTCTGGGTAGGATTTGAGATAAGATTACAATATGCAGGTGTACTTTGGCAGTGTTATTTCATGCTCTCTAACAGACCTGATCTTAGCAATCGAGGCTGGGAGCAAACCGTTTTACGTGTTAACTGTTGTGTAAGCGAATACGTCGAACAAGGAAAATGTCAAAATTTTAGCCATCATATAGTGCAGAACATTCATTTATGCGTAACAAATTTCGACCAAGTAAGGAAAAAGGATTTGGTGGATGAGTTCAAACTGTTTATGGAAGACATTATTGTTGTTATCAGCAAATAACAAACGCAACTTGTGCAAAATCTTAAAATAACTAGTGGACACCGACTTTTCAGCCTGTGACAATTCCGGATCGCCTTGTATTAGATTTTGATGTTGTTATGAAAATATAACAGGTGAAGTGCGACGACTATGCTAAACACTGCACCGAGCGTACAAGCTGGTATCACGCTGTACGGCCGCACTTTAACTCGGCTCCCGTTTGGCACTCAGTGGTCACTCTCTCCCCACACAACATTGCAAGTACGCTTGTTCGAACCAGTTCGACGAGCACTACTCAGTACTTCCCAGCTCTTGGATCTAACCATTGTGGATTATACTCTTGCTCCAGTTCTCAGTTTTGGCATATCCTTTGCCGAGTTCTACGTGTGTAACCAAATCAAACCGGCGCTTTTCGGGAAACATTTTTGTCTCACTCGGAAGAAGAAGCTGAGGACTTGCAACCTACTCGGCAACCACCCCTGCAACTTGCAGCATAACAACACGACAGTCATTTTGCTATGCTCATCAACCGAACATCTCGTCCAAGGTACTTAGGGACGGTTATCAGCCCTGCCACGTTTTGTGCTTGTGTGCGTTCACCCGCTAGTTGTTTGATCGCTGATTTCGACAGCCTGCACGGTAAGACCCTATCTGTCTCGGCCGCCGGACCTTGGTGCGGCTGAACAACTCTCAATTCGTGTGCGTGTTTTACCGTGTTTGTTCGTCACGCCTGGCGCATAGAACATTCATCAAACGTAAGCGGCAGTACCACAATATTCGCTCGGATAGGCCTTTGTTGCAGACGATAAGAGGACGACTAGCATTCCACTGGTTCAACACCGCCTATGTTGCGCAGACAATTGCCGTAAGGTCCTTAAGATCAGAATCACCTGTTCTAGCTGCATCAGATCATACTGTCCGCAATGTGTAGGCACATCCATCCAAGAAGTGAGACAGACAGACAAAGTTGCTGACATAATTTAGTTTTATCCAACATTTCAAGTTATTCCAGTTGTCAGCTGCTTATCTTTGCTCATGAAAAGTGCGATAGGATGACTGAGATAATCAAGTATTTTGTAAATACTAAGATCGATCCCACGGAGGTAAATATGGCCACGATAATACCTCAACCATTCAAAGTATGCTCTGAATCTAAGCCGAAGAAAAGAGCTAGACGCTCCAACCGCACTGCAGCGTCTGTGTCTCTCTCCACTGGGACACAGTCCCATAAGTGGACAAGCCTCAAACATGCCTGCTTCCACTTCTCCAACCATAGACGCTTCACTTGGAGATTCAGCCATGACACAGACAGCTCAGAGCCGAAGGCAATCCGGTGCAGATAACAAGCAGGAAACGTACGCATCGATTGCCTCAACAAACACACCGGGTGTGACACACGTAAGTCCATCTTCAATACCGAGCACACGTGGAGCAACGCAGCTTTCACCGTCAACGCCAGTGGTGCATTCTAAACAGCCCAACTCGCCGGCAAAAACCATAAAAACGACACTCGCTAGACAAAACCACGTTGCGTTAACTCTCGTGTGCACCAGCGTTCCCGAATCCAAATCTGACACATTAAAAAGCAAGTTGCAAGACGATCGCAACCAGTGGAGTTCCATCTGGTTGAGCATGCTATGCTGTAACGCGTAGCGCGTCACCCGACCTCAGTGCACTCTGGTGAACCTCGAATCCTTCGAGTAACATTAGATGCAGCAGATGCAACAGCGGCTGTCCTGCTCTCAGCAATTCGTCTTCGCAACCCACCGAGCGGAGTGCGCATATTACCCTATCTACCTTGGAAAGATCGCCCAAAAGAAGCAGGTGACTAACGCGGCATTCATAATAGGGATATCAAGGAAACAGTATTAGTTCATGGTGTTCCCGAGCCTCTGTATTCTCCTGATTACGATGCGCTAACACATGACCGAGAGTAGAGGTGCTACATCCGCGAAACACTCGCTGTTGACAACGTTATTGCCAAATCCTTGACAAGAGTTCCGTCATCACCTAACTGCAAGGGCTGCAGTCCAAGACCAATGAAAGTAATATTATACTCCGAGGGAAGGACGCAAGTTCTGTTGGATAACTGGTTAAAGTTTCGAGCCAGGATGCAAACAGGCAGACGAACGGCTGAGTCGTAAGTAATTCGATGCAACTTGCAAACGCTGCAAATTGTTTATCTGCACAGTCCACCGGAGAGACCGACACAACAGCCCCCACAGCACGCAACAGGACAGCACACAGCACGATTGAAACGTCTGTTCAGGAACGCTCAATAATACCATGCAACTTGACTAAAAATTCATAAACCGAAAAACGATTAATGGCCGGCCACCTAATGGCCGGCTTAAAAGCTAACACTAAGTTGGCATTTATTAACGTACTCCTAACAACAAAAGCTCTAGCTTGTATGTACACAAACGCCCAAGGCCTTCTAAGTAAGTCGGCCGAAGTTAGAGAACTCCAAGTCTCACAACTGTGGGACTTCGTCAGGATTACAGAGACCTGGTTAAACCAGGAGATAACCGATTCTGTGATCAATTTACCCGGGATGTCGCTGCTTCGGAACGATAGAACCAGAAATGGTGGTCGTGTGGTTATTTACTATGATACAAACCTCCGATGTGAAGTTTTCGATCACCCGGAAATCCGAACTCCTGATTCTCTTTGGTGCCGTCTATGGTTGCGAAACAAGGACATATATCTACTAGCCGTGATTTACCGCCCACCAAACTTAACGTCGGAAATGGACTCCAAACTGTACCACGTCTTTCAGGTTGCTTTGAACAATTCCTATACCCACTTTCTTATCGCTGGAGACTTTAACGTGCACGACATAGAGAAGCTGGCAACCGACGGTACGCAGTTTAAAGCCTGCTTGCAAGAGCTAATTGCTAGCCACCCACTGTACAACCACATAACCTCTCCCACCAGATTTCGAACTGCTAACAAGCCGTCGATACTGGATCTTATACTAACTAACGAAGAACTCATGGTTGACGGGATAGTTACAAGGACATCACTGGGTTGTGGTGATCATGATACTCTACTCTTTGATTACATATGCTATGCGGAGTACCTGAAAAGCAGGATGATAAATTATATACTGTCACGCACTACAATGTGTTATCTAAGCTTGTTAAGGATACATCTTGGACTTTCTTAGCCGAATTCCCCCCAGGTGTTGCCTGGGAAACCTTTACAAGGACGTTTAGCACACTGGTTGCGCACGCATTAGAACAGAAGTCCTTCCAACCCCAAAACAAGCATAAGTCATTTCTGAGGAGCAGAACACGTAAATGTATGTCACGGATTGATTTGGCATGGCGAGATCACCAGGACTGCCCGAATGCCGAAAGCTGGACTGCATACGTGACACATCGTAACTTCTGTGTGCAACTGATCCGCGAAGACAAGGTCACGCATCAGCAGGAGTTATTGATGCGATTCTGCACGAACCGCAAACTCCTGTACAGGCACGTTAATGGTCTTCGAAAGGTGAAGCGGGGGATTCCAGCATTAGTCACGGCTGATGGATGCACGCGATCAGCAATGGAAGCAGCCGATCTCCAACAGCTTCATTACTCCCAACCTTTTCAGCAGGTAACGAGCCCAAATATCCTCCTCGTTTCTATTACTCCACCGTCGGGTGTAGACAACATTTCCTTCACTGTAGAAGTAGTGTTGAAGAAGTGGTTATCCTTGCGTATCCACACTTCTTCTGGAGTCGACAACATCCGACCAAAGGCTCTGCAGGTGGTATCTAGTGATCTAGCAGAACCACCTTCTGTTTTCTATCAGCGATGTCTAGAGGAGAACCATATTCCACCAGTATGGAATCGAGGGGTCCTCAATCCTATCCATAAAGAAGGTAGGTGCACTGACCCTACCAACTACCGTCCAATAACACTGCTTCCTGTACTATCCAAAGTGATGGAATCAATCATCGCAGATGCGCTGTTGCAGTATCTGGAAGGCCACAGCTGAATAGCTCCTCAGCAACATGGCTTTCGTCAAAAGCATTCGTGTAATGGTTGGCGGCATCCGGTTTCGGATTTGCCTGTCACTGTGGCAAGCCACAGGACGCCTGCGCCTACAGAGGGACCATGGATGGCTTGCGCTGCACCACCCACAGCTCCAACCACACACCCCATAGCCAGTGTAAACCCGAAGGAATAAGACCGGGAGGCATGCGGATGGGAGTCACGTTTCATCAACGGAGCCGGCCCACACTCCTTCACAGGCAAACACAAGCACACTGTATTTGGGAATCAAGCGCACACAAGGCGGTGGCTGGACTGTAGTCCGCTCCACACTGACTGCATGGAACCACTCTTCGAGCCTAACACGGCCACAAGGACCGTGCACCCTGTCCCCTCCAGCAACGACCAACTGTCTCCTGGAGCCAGTATGGACGAGGTAGTGGGTAAGAGACAGGTAGGC